TAAATTTCATTTTGATACCAGTTTCATTATTCTATCTGGTCTAAAATTTATTTCATGGGATTCGAGACCTTATTTATCAATCAACCCTCGTAATCTTGTAAATAAATAAATTTCATTTTGATACCAGTTTCATTATTCTATCTGGTCTAAAATTTATTTCATGGGATTCGAGACCTTATTTATCAATCAACCCTCGTAATCTTGTAAATAAATAAATTTCATTTTGATACCAGTTTCATTATTCTATCTGGTCTAAAATTTATTTCATGGGATTCGAGACCTTATTTATCAATCAACCCTCGTAATCTTGTAAATAAATAAATTTCATTTTGATACCAGTTTCATTATTCTATCTGGTCTAAAATTTATTTCATGGGATTCGAGACCTTATTTATCAATCAACCCTCGTAATCTTGTAAATAAATAAATTTCATTTTGATACCAGTTTCATTATTCTATCTGGTCTCAAACTTGTTTTATAGAATTGGAGAACTTTTTTATCAATTGAAACAACCATCCGCGGACACTAATTTTGAATGCTGTTACATAGAAAAACAATACGAAATATGATTGAACAGGAATTTATATACGACTGATTTACATATTTAGACATGTTTTTACACAGTTAGAGACTTTACTTATCACTCAGCCCTTGCATTAATAAGAATCATGTACCGATGAGATCTGTTTTTAAGTGACTTGAAAGGCATGAGGGAGTCAGTCGACTTTCATCATCACCCGAATAAATGACCAGCTGAAATCGAAACTTTTGACTACGTTCCTCTCGCATGAATGGATACCAGAAGACATAGTTGACATCCCATACATTGTTATGGAGATTGAAATAGAATCCTTCGATCTGTGTTAATGGTTTCAGATTCATTGGCAAGGGAGGTGGGTAGCTGTGTCGACTGGATAGTATGTTTACAAGGGGGGCATCAGTGGTACGAATTTCAAATGATCCAGTCGATCTGCCCATGAAATACATTCCGTTGTCCACAGCTAAAAAAAGAAATATGTATCAAATTTAACAAAAAGAATTTTATTCAGAATTCGTATATCGTTTTCTTTAAGGTTTGCATAGGTTATTTTAGAAAAAGTCCTCTAAAGTTTTGAGATAAAAAAATACTTTAATAGTAATTGTTCTGATGGTACCTCGACTTTACGAATTTAAATACCTCGACTCCGGTACCTCGACTTTACGAATTTAAGTACCTCGACTTTGGTACCCCGACTTTACGAATTTAAGTACCTCGACTTTACGAATTTAAGTACTTCTACTTTGGTACCTCGACTTTAAGAATTTAAGTACCTCGATTTTAGTACCTCGACTTTACGAATTTAAATACCTCGACTATGGCACCTCAACTTTGGCACCTTGACTTTATGAATTTGAGTACCTCGACTCTGGTACCTCGACTTTACGAATTTACATACAACGACTATGGCACCTCGACTTTGGTACCTCGACTTTACGAATTTAAGCACCTCGACTCTAGTACCTCGACTTTACGAATTTAAGCGCAGTGCAAGATTGCCGGTTAGCTCGCATTATTTTATAGTTTAAATTACTATATATAAGTCTTTTTATTCTGATGAATTCGCCTCTATGTTGCCGACTTTTCATTATGACCGAAATAATTTTCTGCACATTCCGGAGTGTTTACATTCCCGACCTTGCAATTCTTTCGGCTTACATTTTACATTTCTCAAATGTCAGATTGCTTACATTGCAAATAATAATTCCATTTGCCTGGTTATCAGTAAGAAAATTAACATGAACCCTTTTAATCCTAATTTTATACTACCAGTATCACAATAGTGTCACATTCCCCTTTTTCTAATTTCTGTCATTTACTTGTAACTGTCAACCCACCCCCCACCCCCAAGATAATAATGAAAACACAAAGGTCACAATAGTGTCACACCTAGACTTCATGAATGTAAGCCCTCGATTGATTTGTTGTTTTATATTTTACGGCATATCAACCTTTTCCAGGTTATTTAAAGCCAGAGAATATATTTAGATTGGAAGTATTTTTTTTCTGTGGGAGATAATAATGATTTAGTTATACATGTCTTACTAATTAACCTATAGCTGGCGGGGAGGGAAGTGGTAGATTCGGAAGTGAATATATCGAACCCAATGGGAATTGGAAGTCAAGACTCCAATGAACAATTCCAGGCCATTATCTATTACATCACTTAAGCTTACAGCACCTGGTATTCCCAAGTGGACACTCTTCGTTGATCATACGGGGACTAGTGTTTCAACATGATATGGCCGTAAGCTGAATTTAAGCGCAGTACTCTTGGTTTCCAATCAAATTTGATCTTGAAAAATTGAAATGCAATGTCTATCGTTAAATCTATCTTCAATTGTGATGTTTCTTTGTTGTACTGTCTCCTTAATAATGTTTTTATCTTTTACTCATATTCTTTCACTCTCAGTAACCCCTTGCGTTTTAGTGGCTTAATTACCTTGCTTCGTTCACATCAACTAGCCTCGAGTGTTTTCTGTTTTCCAGTTTTTATTAATGAGTCGGACGAGTGGTTTTGCTGCGTTCAACATAACTTTTCGACTGATACCTTCTCCGACCGTCTTCAGGCGAATGAAGAGTGTCAGTATTTTTTTTTTTTTTTTGTTATTTATTTGGTAGATTTTTAGTCAATTTCTCGACACGACATAATTTCGAAAGGTTCACAGATCTGGATCTCGCACATTTGTTCTGACAAAGTAAATTGTTTAGAACAGAAACACAATATTTCCTTTTTAGAAATGATTTGAATTATTTATGTATTTGTCTATTGTAACTAAATAATAGACATTTTCAGCCTGGTGGTGGCGAAAATTCGAAAGAAAGGGTAAAATCGGAACACTAAAAAAAAACGAAAATATATCGATAATCGTACAGTGGAGTAATAAATAGCGGCTCGGAATGAGGAATGGGAGAGCCGAGTTCGAATTTCAGTCGAATCCATTACATTCACTTACGTGCTAATACCCTTGGGAAAGGTATGAATCCTCTTCTTCTCCTCTCCCCCCCCCCACCAGCTATGGGCAAATACCAGGTCAAATAGGGTTCTATAGCCTTGGATGGCAACTGGACTACCGCAGAAAGAAATGACAACCTACTGCGGGAAAATCTGCCTATGTATCGAAAGATACCTGATCGCCTAAGCATGTATATCGCATGGTACATAACTGACTGGAAACAGCGTGGAATAAGGTATATTTTCATTTTAATCTTATAGAATCAAACTTTAAAGTCAATATTTAAAACAAAAAAGCATGTCCCTTATAAGCGGTCATGGACCTTCACAAATTCTTTTTCTTTCACATTTCCCGTCGTTTGCTAGTACAGTACCCAAATAGTTCAATTTCTGTGTTCTGTCCATGATATTCTTAGCATGTATGTATGTGTATATGTGTGTGTGTGTGTGTGTGTGTGTGTGTGTGTGTGTGTGTGTGTGTGCGTGCCTTCTTCTTTTTGAACTTAACCAATCATGACTCTCCATAACTTCCTTCTCCTAATTGCTCTATGGAACGTTTAACTATACCAATTATCAATATGTTCGCTCTGCTATTCAGTCACCTAAACTCGTGAGGTAGGTTACTCGCTATGTCAACCTGCCTTACCTTCTTTCATTCCTTCTTTCCTTCCTTTCTTCTTTCCTTCCTTCCTTCCTTTCTCCCTTATTTCCTTCTTTCCTTCCTTCCTGCCTTCCTTCCTTCATTCCTTCATTCCTTCTTTCCTTCTTTCTTTCCATACTTCCTTCCTTTTTTCCTTCCTTTCTTCCATCCATCCTTCCTTCCTTCTTTCCTTCCTTACTTCTTTCCTTCCTTCTTTTCTTCCATCCTTCCTTCCTTCTTCCTTTCTTCCTTCTTTCTTTCCTTCTTTCCTTCCTTCCTTCCTTTCTTCCTTCCTTTCTTCTTTCCTTCATTCCTTCCTTCCTTCATTCCTTCTTTTCTTCCTTCCTTCTTTCCTTCCATCCTTCCTTCCTTCTTCCTTTCTTCCTTCTTTCTTTCCTTCTTTCCTTCCTTCCTTCCTTTCTTCCTTCCTTTCTTCTTTCCTTCCTTCCTTCCTTCATTCCTTCTTTTCTTCCTTCCTTCTTTCCTTCCATCCTTCCTTCCTTTCTTCCTTCTTTCCTTCCTTCCTTCTTTCATTCCTTCCTTCCTTCTTTCCTTCCTTTTCTTTCCTTCCTTCTTTACTTCCATCCTTCCTTCCTTCCCTTTTCCTTCTTCCTTTCTTCCTTCTTTCCTTCCTTCCTTCCTTCTTCCTTTTTTCCTTCCTTCCATCCTTCCTTCCTTCCTTCTTTCCTTTCTTCCTTCTTGCCTTCCTTCCTTCCTTCCTTCCTTCCTTCCTTTCTTCCTTCCACCCTGTGAAATTTCCCAAGCCGTCTTTTCTCTTTATTTATCTCAAAAACTTCATCTCTCTCTTTGTGATATTTCATAGTAACTCAGCATTTTTTATCCTGCTTATCACCCAGGAAAATGCCAAGTTCTAGAAGGATGGAATCCTGAAGCTACCTCCAAAATGTCGAAAGGTACCAGAACAAATTGGCGCATATGTGGTTGAATAAAACTATTTACAAATAAATAAATATTGACTTTGAAATACTGATTGTATGTATACATCTCCTTGGATGACATTGAAGTGTCTAACTTCAGTAAAAATAAACTCAGACAATTACCTTGGTGACTTCAGTATGATCAAACAGATAACATAAAGTATTTGACTTTAGTAAGGATCAAATTCAAACACTTACTTTGAAGTGTCTAGCTTCAATAGAATCAATCAGATACTTAATACAAAGTATCTAACTTCAGTAAGGATCAAACTCAGAAGCCTACCTTGAAGTGTCTGATTGTAGTAAGGATCAAACTCAGACACTTACCTTGAAGTGTCTGACTTCAATATGATCAAGAAGATGCTTAACATAAAATGTCTGACTTCAGTAAATATCAAACTCAGACACTTACCACGAAGTATCTGACTTCAATAAGTCAAACACGGACACTTACCATGAAGTGTTTGACTACCATTTATCAGCACATTGTCCGATGCAAGCACTTGTCCCATTTTATGGACACAAGTTTTAAAACGTGTTTTGTCTGGATTCAACATTACAAGTGCCATTGACTCTGGTAAACGAGTCGCGCTTTTATTAAACCACTGTAATTCGATGTTCCAATCTGAAATAATAAAAGAAATGTCATCATAAGTGACAAATGAAAAATATCTTAATGAGAATCGTAAGCATTTTCTTTCTTACTTTCTTTATTATTAACGCTGAAGAAATTTATTGAATTTTTTCTGACAGCAGTTCAGACTGACCCCTTTTTTCCACATAACCATTTTGCTTATGACCATTTTGCTTAAAATTACTTTTTGAAGATGAAAACTTGAAAAATGTTCAAGATATTTCAGTGAAACTTACACTTATCAAAATAATAGTTTAGATATTTTTTTATATTTCTTTTCAAAATTATTTCTATCTTATAGAAAGTTAAATTATATAAAAAACATTTTCTTTTTATTTTATATTTCTTTTCAAAATTATAGTTTATGTCTATCGTTCAGATATTTTGATTTTCATATTTCTTTGTGTATCAATGCAGGTGTTCCCCCAGGTCTCTATCCTTGGGCGTACGATGTCCTTAATTTTCATCAACGACCTTCCCGATATCATCAGTTCTCATTTCAGTATCTCTACTGATGACACAACTATTTACACCTGCTGTCTTTTTAATCGACTGAGTGAACCGTTTTTGTCACCCATAAGCAAGGCTGATGCTAACCTCCAGGAGAGTGAGTCATTGTGCCTTCTCGGGCTAACGTTTTCCCATGACATAAAATAGAATGATTATATTGAATCAAATGCTAGGTCCACTGCTAAGAAAACCGGTTCACTGTGTTGTGATCGACAATTTTTCTCGCTAGAATCTATCTTGTATATTTTTTATAAGTCTACTATTCACCCATGCTTTGAATATTGCTTCCACATCTGATTTAGTGCTCCTGTTATATTAGAGATATATATTAGTTATATTTAGAGATTCGTGATATCATTTAAAGAACTATCTGCAATGTCATTTGTCCTGACCCGGCATCTCGGCCGTTTTAACGCAGCTTCCCTGTGCCTTTTCTATAATTATTTTCATGGTAACTGTTCTGATGAACTCACCGCTATGCTACCTACTCGATGAATTCAAGCGCAGTACCAGGTTGGCGGTAAGTTCTCATCATTTTACAGCTGAAATGGCAAGATAGAACCGCAAGTTCTATGCTGACAGTTTCTTTTCTCGCACTTCTAGCAGGTGGAAATCTCTTCTGATTTCTTGCTTTCCAAGTTTCAAATTTAAATGAAATGTCAATTGTTATCTTCTTAATTCATTTTTTTTTTTAATGTTCTCTCTCATTAATAGTGATTTTTCTCATATTCTCTCACACTCAGTAACAATTTGCGTCTTAGTGGCTTTATTGGCTTGCTTGGGAGAAATGATTAAAATGTATATATATATATATATATATATATATATATATGAAAGCAAATATATGGATATAGATCCGACAGTATGAAGAAAAATAGAGAAAAAACAAACAAAAATTTTAACATGCAATTATGCTGTATCAACGGAAGGGATTTCTTGAACTGTTTATATTAAATAGTTCAATCGACTTTTTTAATATTTGGAAATCATCTTCGAATACGTTTTCACAACATCGCCCACGTGACGACAACGTGATCATATTTAAACGGAACGCTGATCTTATATAAAAATTTCAGTTATCTGTTTGGATTAGTTGTGCTCTTATGTCCATCGTCTTTTGTGTTAAATTTTTATATGTTCTAATGTTAATTATGTTTAAATGTAAATGTCCATGAAGATGGTCTTAAATAGACCGAAACGTCCGACGTCGACTTTATATTAACATTAATACAGCATAATTGCATGTTAAAATTTTTGTTTGTTTTTTCTGTATTTTTTCTTCATATATATATATATATATATATATATATATATACACACACACACACACACACACACACACACATATATATATATATATATATATATATATATATATATATATATATTTATGGGAAAAAAATAAAGCGTTAGTTTAAACTGACGCCAAGAGGATATTGGTTTAATTTACGACGAGAGGATATTGGTTTAACTGATACGTCCTTTTGCCATATACAGTAACTATTTCGTTTAAAGTCCATTTTTTTTTTATTTCAGATAACAAAATTTGGAATTTTTCCAACATATTTCAGTAAAATTTTCACTTTCCAAAATTGTACTCAATAATTATAGCTATATGGATGGAGAAAAAAAAAGTCGTCTATTCAAACTGGCGCCAGAAAGATGAGGATTAATCACACTCTTTAAAAGTTGCCATCCCATATTTAAATTTTAAAAATCTCTGACTGTAGGCTAAATTCGCTATATTTATTCAGTGGCAGAAAAATAAACGATATTTAAGTGTTCTTGTAAAGTCCTCAGCAATGAAACCAGTTAAGCTATTAAACAATTTTTAAAAAAAGAGCCCACTTAGCACAGAAAGAAAGAATTTTTATCTTAAATGTTTTATTCACGTTACCACTTATTTAAAGTCGATGACACACGATATGAGAATTTTTCCGCAAAATAAAAAATGTAATTATTAAATCTTATTAATTATTTAATTATATAGAAATCATTAATTAACATGAAATAATTTTTGTGTTGATAACGTTTTCACACGTTTAATATCTACGGCTTTTCGCTGAAGTTCAAATGGCATCAAATCTCTAGTGTTCTAGAAGACATTAATGGATCAAGTAATAATATTGAAAAAGAATAAAATTATCTGGACCGCTGTCTAATGTCTTTATCTTCGAACAATTTTTTTTTAATTCCTTTCACCTGGGGCCAATAAAATTACTAATACGCTAGGAGTTTACTTAGTGTGAGAAAATAAGTAAAAGAAAACATAATTAAAGAGCGAGAAGAATAAAAGCAGTGGAATCAAGAAGACAGTAGATAACGATTGACATTGCACTTAAATTTTTGAAGATTAAACTTGACTGGAAAATAAAAAGCTGGAAAAGAGTTCCACAGACGAGAAGTGCTAGAAAATAAACTGTTAGCAAAGAACTTACTGTTACATCTAGCCAATTTAACTGTAAAACGACGAGGCTTTGTTGTATAGTACTGCGCTAAAAATTCATAGTCTAGGTAGCATGGAGGAAAGTAATATTTATTCTGAAAATACGAAAATGTGGCACAATGACAAAAAGGGAAATAGGGTATGGCTCGTCTTCAAATCTGTCTTATACAGTGATACCTCGACATAAGTCGTTTCGAGTTATTTTCGAAGATACGTCGGTTTTTCTTGAATATTATATGGAAAAATAAAAGTCGACTTACGTCGTTTTACTGGAATTTACGTCGGCAATTAAAAATATTAGAAATGTCAAAACACTAAAATTGCTGGAAAATAAGGTGGAAATGAATTATTTTATTCAGAACACTGTATGTAGACAATAACAGATCATTCCATCTTAAATAAATCAACAATGTTTAGCGGCAATGTTAAATATCAAAGAATTTTCAAACATTCATTATTACGGATACAAAAAAAACAATGAATTTTATATAGATTTTTCTAGACATAAGCTGAGCAAAACAAATTCGCGTGTTTGGACAAAAAGAAGGCCCCTGAATGACGTCAAAATCTGTGAAAGTTTTTCAGCCATTAATAATCAGTTGTGCTTAATTTAATTTATAACGTATATAATTGTAGGTAGGACAAATATGGATAAGATACCGAGGGTCACAAGGCACTACTCGGACCCCCAGTCAGGCTTGCTCTCCACCTCAGTCTTGGAATTCAAAGGTAGTACGCACTGGACCTGATAGCCATTCTCCCTGGGGTAGAATAAAATGAAAATAATGTCCCTTTTCCGGAGAATAGTTGGCAAAATGAAAATGGCTATAAAAGTGTTGCAGAGTAGTTTTCACAGTGGAGGCTTGTATTTCACTGTCGGTCCTAAATTAGGTTCGACGTACAAAATGTTAGGAAATTGAAAATAATAGTTAATGACGCAGCAATGTAGTTGTGGTGATGATACTTTAATGTCCGACATCGACTGACTCACTCAACTCCACTGAGCCCCCTGGCGACTGCTACTACTACTACTTATTATATCTGGGAGAGTCTATTAACAATAGAATAGGTATGTTCCGGTATAAAAAAAAGATTACTTCCTCGAATCATAACCGTTAACGAGAAAGATGTCTCTTCTAAAAGAATCTTCACGGCAAATGTTCCGACGAGCTACTTTCATGCATGAATTTAAGCGAGCTACTGGCACTCCCGCTTTGCTTGGGGTTAATTGCTTTAAAAAAATATGAATGCAGATAGAAAAAAAGCAAATGTTGATAAGATAGCGATAAAACTGCTGACAAATTTTGTTTTTATTAAGTTTGGAGCATTTTTACATCATGGTATGCTCATTTCTAGCGGTACCTACATATATAGTGATTTTCCAAGCGGAGCTTAGATGCCGCACAAGGCCAAATGGAGGTGGCACCCAGGAAGGATCGAACTCACTACTCAGTCGTATTTGCTATGGCGAGACAAGCTTGCTAACCATTACACCACCTTAAGGTACCCCGGTACCTACATATATAGTGATTTTCCAAGTGGAGCTTAGATGCGGCACAAGGCCGATGGAGGTTGCACCCAGTGAGGATCGAACTCACTACTCAGTCGTAATTGCTCGAGCAAGACAAGCTTGCTAACCATTACACCGCCTTAAGGTGCCCCGGTACCTACATATATATTTACCTACATATATATGTAATGTTATGTTAGTAACGTCAGATAAGAATACGACACTAACTTTTTCCATATATAAAATAACTGGTTATTCATTTCTGAACAAATTATCACCGGCACAATCTTGAGTTGTATGAGGTTTCAGGATGCAAAGATTTTAGCTTTCTTCTCCTATTTCAGGCTTTTAGTACCTGTTATCCGGTTGTACTCTTTGTGTAGATCTTAAGATCGACTGGGTTCATTTCCTGCTTATGCATATGCACCCACAGGCATCCTTTTACAGCACGATTCTGTACATAGTGGCTTCGAAGTCACCTTTCAGATCGACCTTCGGGACTACTACATCTTTTGACGTTCTGGG